TTATAATATGATTTAATAATCAAATTGTTATAATTTTATTGTTATTCCCAATTATACAACTCAGTTAACCACGACGTGTAAATCGGTTTTGGAGGCCGGAGGGCCCCTATAGTGGCTTATCAAGCGAGAAAACCTTAAACAACCCAATAATAATTGATTAAAATTGTAATTTATATTCAATTTTGTATTAAAAACAAGTGATAATAATTTATTAATTTTTAATTTATAACAAATAAGTTTACTAATGATATGAAACGATATAATTGAATGGTAAGTTTACACGTACTGTATTATAGAAGGGAAGTTTACATTTGCTCGAAAATCTATTTTTGCTAATAAAGTTTGAGTGAATTGTTAACAAAAAACAGGAAATATTCAATTCCTCAATATTCAGGAAATGTTGACTGAAATCATGAATCAAAACAAAATGACATTCAGTTTATTGAAAGGTCTGATGAGAGAGAAGGAGAGGAAGGGGTCGACTGCTGTCGAAGACATCAATGAATGGACTGCTGTTCAGATCAATGGCTCAGAAGTTGCATCAACTGATCCAAACAAAGTCTACAAAGATGAATTGTAAATTAATTCATTGTTTAACACATTATTAGATATTTATTTGTATACAATTTTATGAGATTTCAATAAATTAAAGAATTTTTAAAAATTATATATTTTTATTTATTAAAAATACAGTAACTTTTTAGATGTTAATTGAAAATTAAAGTTTTTAATTGGATTAGAAAAAATAATTATAAATAATCAAAACGTTTTATTAACAGTATTTCAATTTAATTATTATCAAAAAATGTTTATAACCTAATATTTTGCATATTTTTTACAAATTACATAAAATTAGAAATAGTAAATATTATCATATAAATTACATTTAAATGCATGATTTATTTTTTATTGTGAAATGTATATAAAATAAATTTAATTTTAATTGATGGTATTATAAATATAATTATAGTTTTATATTATTATGTTTATGAATATGTTTGTTGAAATTAGATTTATCGGAAAAACATTTGTTACAATTATTGAAATGACAAACAAATGGTTTTTCTCCCGAATGTATGCGTTTGTGTTCATTAAAATGGTATTTCTGACCAAAATATTTGCCGCAATTTTCTTCATTACATTTGAATTTCTTTTCATTCAAATGAACACAACTTTTGTGACGAAATAAATGCTGTTTTGCTGTAAAACGTTTGTGGCATTCATTGAAATCACAAATAAATCTCAACTTTAAATGAATGCTATTTTTGTGTTGTTGAAGATTGTCTTTATATTTATAACTTTTATTACAATTATTAAAATCACATTTAAATTGTTTTATTTCTGAATGAATAAATTCGTGTCGAGTGAATCTTGGTTTGTTTGATGTCATGAATTCACATTTAGGCCAAAAACAGTGAAAATAAATTACTATTAAATGCAAACCTAATGTTCTGTGCATTGATTTCTTGGGCCAATTGTTTGACATCGGATTCAATGATGCCTTCAATGCCGACAACTCTTCACTCAATTCACTATTTTTTGTCGACATTTCACTCAATTCTCGCTTCAAATCGCTATTTTCGGTAACAATTTTGTCCAATAAATGGAAGACTGCTTTGAGTTGTGTCNTTTGTATTCAAAATACACTGAATTTTGTCTATTATTTCACACAAACTCTTCATTGCATTGAATTTACTCTTCATTTCAATCAACGAAACACTTATTAATTTTGAACACATTTGAAAAATAAATATTTTGGTTAAATTAAATGCTATTTATACAAAAATTTATATTTGAAATTCAAAATTTTAAATTTCAAATTTTGAACCAACATAAGTAAAAATTTTGGGTTAATGTCCGGTTCTCCTTTAATAATTCATAATCCCTTGAATTTATATGAACTCAACACTTGTATTGCATTTAAATGTTGAGTTTAATTTGTATTTATTTAAAAGATTTACACCATAAGTATTCAACACTACAGTTTACACTACAGGTGCGCACACCTGACCCCAAAAACTAACAATCAGTTTATCAGTAATTGTGAAACACAGACAATGTGTAAATGTCTAACAATTAACAAAATAAAAGTTATTAAATATTATTATAATTATTATCATAATTAAACAAATTTCTAGTATTTGATGAATACCTATAATTAAACAATAACCTCATATAGAATTTATCGTGATATTTATATAATGTCTAATTTATATGGACATTACAATACCAAGATGTGCATCCACACGAGGGATAATGCGGTGATCTCAACTCAGTCACCCAGGTATGTAATTTTATAAATGGTTTATATAATATTACATATCAATTGATTGATTAATAAAACGTTTATTAAAATTATAGTCAAAGTGAAGAGTCGGACGATATGTGGAGTTATTATTGTGAAAAGATGTCAAATGTGAAGACACAACTCAAAGCAGTCTTCCATTTATTGGACAAAATTGTTACCGAAAATAGCGATTTGAAGCGAGAATTGAGTGAAATGTCGACAAAAAATAGTGAATTGAGTGAAGAGTTGTCGGCATTGAAGGCATCATTGAATCCGATGTCAAACAATTGGCCCAAGAAATCAATGCACAGAACATTAGGTTTGCATTTAATAGTAATTTATTTTCACAAAATTCATTTGATTTATTAATTTGTATTTTAATAGTAAACAGTTGTTCAGCGAGTGTTCAACAGGACGTGTCCTCCGGGTCTGCGATCGGTTCCGGCAATCAATTGACCACTAATTCAGACAAAATCAATGATGAGTTCAATATTCAGAAAATGTTGACTGAAATCAAGAATCAAAACAAAATGACAATCAGTTTATTGAAAGGTTTGATGAGAGAGAAGGAGATGAAGGGGTCGACTGCTGTCAAAGACATCAATGAATGGACTTATGTTCAATTCAATGGCTCAGAAGTTGCATCAACTGATCCAAACAAAGTCTACAAAGATGAATTGTAAATTAATTCATTATTGAACATATTATTATACATGTATTTGTATACAATTTTATGAGATTTTAATAAATTAAAGAATTTTTAAAATTATATATTTTTATTTATTAAAAATACAGTAACTTTTTATATGTTTATTGAAAATTTTTAATTGGATTAGAAAACTAATGATAAATTATCTAAATGATATATTTACAAAACATGTACCACAATCACTTTTATTTTCATATATTTAAATGAAATCTATTCTTGTGATGCCATAAACTCGAGGGTTTTATTGCTTTATTGCAATTATTGATATCACAAACAAATGGTTTTTCTCCCAAATGTATGCGTTTGTGTAAATTGAGAACTGACTTATAGTTGAATTTTTGGCCACAATTTTCTTCATTACATTTGAATCTCTTTTCATTCAAATGAACACAACTTTTGTGTTCAAATAAATGGTATTTTGTTGTAAAGCTTTTGTAACATTCATTGAAATCACAAACATATGGCTTATTACCCGAATGCAGGCGCATGTGATTAATTAAATTGTATTTGGTATTAAATTTTTTGCCGCAATTATTTTCATTACATTTGAATTTCCTTTCATTCAAATGAACATAACTTTTGTGTTTAATTAATGAATCTTTTAGTGTAAAACTTTTGTGGCATTCATTGAAATCACAAATAAATCTCACATTTAAATGACTGACATTTTTGTGTTGTTTTAATTGAATTGTGTTGTTTGAATGATTTAATTGATGTCTGTTTAGATTACTTTTATCTAATGTCTTGTATTGACATTTAGGCCAAAAACAGTGAATAAATATTTGTTTTTTATCAACATTTGAATGAACAGTATTTTTATGAACTAACAAATTATCGTTTCTTTTAAAACTTTTGTTGCATTCATTGAAATCACAAACAAATTTCACATTTAAATGAATGTTATTTTTGTGTCGAATTAAATTTGTGTTATATGTAAAAACTTTATTACAATTATTAAAATCACATTTGAATAATTTTACTTCAGAATAATATTTGTTTAGCATTTTATCACTGATTTTACATGAATTGCAATCAATTGTTTGATTGATTGAAAAATAATCATTATTTTCGCATTCAATCGCTTCACACAAAACACTATTATTTGTATTCAAAATACACTGAATTTTGTCTATTATTTCACACAAACTNTTATAGTCTAAATGAACACAAACTCTTCATTGCATTGAATTTACTCTTCATTTCAATCAACGAAACACTCATTAATTTTGAACACATTTTTAAACAATAAATATTTAAACAAAACGATTGAACGATTTTAAAAAATAAATATTTTGGTCAAATTAAATGCAACTTAATTTTATTTTAAATGCTATTTATATAAAATTTTATATTTTCATTAAATTAATAAACTAGCAATATCCTTGATAATAAACTAATACCCAACATAAGTAAAAATATTGGGTTAATGTCCGGTTCCCCCAATAACTCTTAATCCCTTAAATTCATACGAACTCAACACTTGTATTGATATTGTATTTAAATTTTGAGTTTCATTTGTATTTATTTAAAGCATTTACACCATAAGTATTCAGGATATACACTACAGGTGCGCATACCTGACCCCAAAAACTAACCATCAGTTTATCAGTAAATGTGAAATCACAGACAAAGTGTAAATGTCTAATAATTACTAAATAAAACTTATTAAATACTATTATTATTATTATCATAATTAAACAAATTACTAGTATATGATGAATACGTATTATGTTAACTATACGGGCAGTGATAACATGATTACAATAGATATACACTCGAGGGTTGAGACCATCAAAGATCTCAAGGCTTTTCTACAGACCAAAGGCCTGTACAATGAAAACACCGATATTATAGCTTTTGGGTATTCAAAGACTTATAGCTTTTACCATGATGATTACAAGTTGGCCAATTTGTATAAATGCAAATGCTATGTGATATACATTCATACCAGATCTAATACCTTGGTTAATTCCCAATTAT